GGGGGGGGGGGGGGGGGGGGGGGGGGTTGCGATGGCCCTCCCACCCAAAAAACGTTGTCCGCTAACCCCGACGAATTTTCCCGCCCCCCCCTTTTTTTTTGGTTTGGCCGGCGTTCTCTAGGAAGTCGAAGTCGCGCTGGCGGCCAAAAGCGCGTTGGACGCGGTCAACTTCACGCCCCAAGGGCCCGCGGGCATCTTCGGCCTGTACGTCCTCCCCGGCGCCCACCTCGGCCGCGCGTTCCTCAACGAGTTCGTCTGCGTGAGTCGCCCTCTCCCACTTTTTCTTTTTTTTCCCTTCGATATCGAAACCTTGCTCATACTCATACACCGGGGTTTTTATTTTATTTACCGCGGCGAACAAAAAACAACAGGCTTTCCTCATCGGCCTCGTCATCTTCGCCTGCCTCGACCCGACCAACTTCTTCGCGCCGCCGGCCGCCGGCCCGTGGATCATCGCCTTCGCATAGTACGTTTCGTTCTTCGACGAACAAAAACTCGGGGGGCGCGCCCACCTCTGATTTTTTTTTTTTCTTGTCTAGCGCGATCATGGTGTGGGGGTTCTCGCCCAACGGACGTGAGTACAGTCGTTCGCCGTTCTCGAACAGAGAAAAGAAAAGAAAAAAACTGAACGCGGGAGGGGGGCGACGCCAGTGGCTTTGAACACCGCGCGCGACATGGCGGGCCGGCTCGCCGTGCTCACCCTCTGGGGCACGAAAGCCGCCGGCGGGCGGTACGCGGCGATCGCGGCGCTGACGAACATCCCCGCGACGATGCTCGCCGCGGCCGTGTACGAGTTTATGTTCACCGATTCGAGCCGAGGTACGCCACCACCCCCCTACCCCCCTCCTTTTCCTCCTGTTACGTGGGCGTGCGCCCGGATTGGTTGATTGATAAATCCCACAGTCCTCACCCCGGCCGCGAGGGACCACCTCGAGGGCCACAAGGCGCACCTGGACAGGAAGGCGCACGGCTCCGCGCTCCATCTCCCGATGCAGGGGCACCATCACCAGCACCACCCCACGAACGGCGCGGCCGCGGCGACGTATAAGACGCACTCCGATAAGGCGACGGCCGAGATGGTAGAACATGCCGCGTAGCGTAGCGTGGGCGGCACCGCTAGGGTTCGTTTCTCATGATCAGGGAAGGAAGTGGGAGGAGGAGGAGGAGGAGGGTATGGTTAGCTTTCACGATCCATCCATGGCAGGCGGGGATAATGAGGATTTGATTTTTTTGATTTTTTTTTGGCTCGCGCATGTGTTCAGTATTGTACGTTTACAAAGATGAAGTTACGGAGCTGCAGTGGAGGGATCCGGCGGCGCGCCATAGGATCATCACAGAGTGTGCGTGAGAGGGAGAGCAGTCATCCTCGGATTCCTCCCAGACACCGATCGCGAGAGACAGGTTATGGAAACCTGCCGCAGACGGACGTTTTGGCGTTCGACGGCCACGCTGAGGGGTCGGGGGCATGGCATGGTTGCGGGGAGCGAGAAAGAAGGAGGGGGGGGGGGCAAGGGGTGATTCGCAGTTGCGATCGCGGTTGGGTGGGTGCCCCTGAAGGTCTGGGAGCGTCCCCCCCCCGCGGCGACTTCTGAGCGATCGGTTTCCTTTGGTGAAATGACGGAGAGACCGTCGATATTTTGGCGTTTCAATAGTTCGCCGAGACAAAGGGGGGATTGCGGGCACTTTAGGTCGACGGCGCGGGCGCGCGCTTCTTCAAGAGTTCTTTCGCCACCTCTTCCAGGTCCGCAGACTGATCGGGCAGCCAGAACGCCTGCATGAGGTGAAAGGTGATTAACCGGGGCGCGTCGACGTTTCGAGGGATGAAAGGGAGGAGCGGCGGGAGGAGGGGTGCAGATCGTGACGAAAAGACTGGGGACGACACACTCACGAGTTCGGCGCCGGCGGTGGCCATCATCGCGTAGCGCGGGTTGAACCTCACGCACCGCGATGGGCCCGGATGGCCGTCGAGCTTCGCCAGGGGCGCGATGCGGCCCGGGGGCGACTTGAGGCTCGCGGGCTCGGACCGCTGCGGGATGGTCTGCGCGTCCCAGACGACGATCTTGCCGTCGAGGCTGCCGCCGACGACGTACTTGCCGTCGGGCGTCCAGGAGACCTCCTCGCCGCTGCAGCCGCGCACGGGCTGGATCCCGGGCGCGACGTCCGGCCGCCGGCGCTCGAGGCCGACGTGGCCCTCGAGCTTGGCGAGGAGGAAGCCGTCGAAGGCGTCGACGATGTAGTGCGCGTCGCCGGAGCAGCCGACGAGGATGTATTTGCCGTTGGGGGAGAAGGCGAGGGAGGTCATGTAGATGGGGCGCGGCGGGAAGCTGACGAGGGAGAGCGTCGGGTCTTCGAGCTCGATGACGAGGAAGGGCTCCTTGTCGTAGTTGGCGAGGTCGTAGACGAGGATGCGTTGGTACTCGTTCACGCCGACGGCGAAGACGAGCCCGGAGGTGTCGTAGGCGACGATAGGGGAGGAGGGGAGGTTGAGCAGCCCTCGGCATTGGGGCGTGCGTAGGTCCCAGAGACGCACGGTCTTGTCGAGCGAGCCGGACATGAACGTGTCGTCCACCGGAGACATCTCGAGCGTGACGACCTTCGCCTTGTGACCTCGGAAGTACTGCAGGTACTTGTTGTCGTGCAGGGAGTGGTAGCGGACGGTGTCGTCCTCTTTCGTTGAGGCGTGGATAATGGCCGTGTCCTTGTGCGTGAACCTTGGTAGATCTACGCCGTATTTCTTGGAGAACAGAGTCTTCGACTGCCTGTGAGTGGGTTTGCGGTCAAAACAGGTGAGACGTGGTGGGTTAAGCAGGAACTCGCTTGCCAGATCTAGCGCTGTACAGGCGGAACGTCTCATCCTCAGCAGCGGTAATAAGTTGGGTCCCTCTGTCGTCGAAAGACATTCCCGTGATATGTCGAGGGCCGGGAGGCGTGGCGCGACCGCTGGGGCTTTTGGGCGGCAGAGGCTCGACGGCATCTTTGAAGATCTTGGCCGGCTTGAACTTGCTCTATATTGCGTCTGATAAGTCTATGACTTCGTGTATGCTATGGTCTGCGCACCATCAAAGCATTGGTGAGAGTCAGCGAGCTTGTGCTCGCCGCCGGTGTCGGTGTTGGCGCCATGAGGGGTGTTGTCGAAGGACGCGCCGGTGGCTGAAGCGAGAACTTCGGCTCTCAGACTTGTACCTTACCACTCAGCTTACTGTCCTTCCTTGCTACAATGGCTGACGCCGATGAGTCTGCAAAACTGTGGAAGGTCAACAGGACGATACATGAACTCGTCAAGGACAGGGTTGGCCTGGAGTCGTCTTGGTGTTTGCTGCCACACGAGAGCTCATGCCGTGCTGCAGGGATTCCAAGTCTCGGACGACGAAATACAGATGGATCTGGCTACTTTCCGGCAAGCTTACGCGAACAACGGGGGCAGCGTAGAGTGAGTTGAACAAGTACGTGGGTGGCCTGTCCCTCCGAGACTCACTCAGGAGCTGCGGGCCAGTCGAAATCAGCTCAATTTTTTCACCAACTCGCGCGCGAACCCGGCGGACCAAATATTCGTGTTTTTCTCAGAGGAGAAGAGCGTCGGCGTGAAGACTATGCGAAAGTGAGTGTGGAAACGGAAGGCTATCAAACCCTTATTGTGTATATCGACCAACGGAGGTTAGATTGCTGGGTATTCTCGAGGAGAAGTCCATACAGCGGGGTATCATCATCTTCCCTGGGAACATGACCCCGTCCGCCCGCAAGGTCTGTTCCGCCCCCCACCCTTAATCTTACCCTCATATCTTATATGATCCCCAGGTCATCGTCGCAATGTCCGCTCAATTCAGGCTCGAAGAGTTCTCAGAATCTGACTTGCTTGTGAACATCACCCACCATACCCTCGTCCCGCGGCACGAGGTCCTCACACCTGAAGAGAAGCGAAACCTGCTCGAAAAATAGTGCGTGTTTGAGCCGCTGCCTACGATGCCAGCTATAGCAAGGTCTCGAACGATGACGCAATCTCTTGCAGCCGACTGAAAGAGACTCAGTTACCCCGTATTCAACTTGCCGATCCTGTCGCCCGCTACTACGGACTCCGGCGGGGCCAGGTCGTCAAAATCACTCGACCCAGTGAGACCGCCGGGCGTTACGCGAGTTATCGCATATGCTTTTAAGACCGAGCTATATCCGATACCTGTACGTTAAACTGGCCCCGCTCACGATCGGGATGGCATGGGATACCGCCGCCGCCACCTCTTCTCGTCCCATCGTGGCGGTCGCTGCTACCCCCCTCTCCTGTGCGACGCTCTTTCCTCGCATGTGGTCGCGCACACCCTTGTAATCCCCCCGTGCTCCGACTATCGCAACGCATTTCCGTCCCGGTCGTATGCATATGGCGACTCCCGCCAACCTGATCGCTCATCATGATATCAGTTATAGATCCGACGCCCGAAACAGTCGGCTTTGTGCAATTTGCTATGCATCGCCATCTCTGTCCTCAACACCCCACCGGGGCACGTCGACGCACCCTTGCCGTCGCGAAGCCGCGGGGGCCTGCTTGCAACGGCTGTCGCGCCGGTGATTATTACTATCGGGACCTCGCCGTGTATATACGGACACCGTCGGCCCTGCCTGACTCAGAGCACGCGCTTTCATTTCCAGCACTTCCATTGCCGTCTAAGACACGTTCCCCGGTCGTAGTTAAGCACTCCGAGCGGCAACACGAGGTGAACGCGGTCCACGTTCCAACAAATTGGATTCAGCTCGAGATCCCTCTGCAAACGCACTAAACGCACTCTTTCCGTAGAGCGCTTGCTGATCATCACGACCGCATCTCCATGTAGGGTACATCGTTTTCTCGGGGTCATGTCTCAGATCTCAGAGCGGGCCAGCAGCCTACACAGCGCGTTTGCAGATCCGAGAGTCGCAACGGGGGGCTGGCGGAGGGCTCAGTCAAGGCCCCCTATATCGCGTGTTTGATCGAAACGCTGATCCGCGCCTCCTCATTGCAATTTTTACTGCGCGTGGACGACGATGCCGATGCACGAGTCGAGGACACAATCCTGTACGTAGGCATAGCTGCGACCATGCAGCGCATCTCTCGGAGACTGCGGGTACGCAACGTCTGCATTGTGCAGCGAGTTTACAGCCGGACATTTGTGCTCCGTATTGCGAGGACATAGAACCGACTCGGCTGCATTATTACCGATTCGTTCGAACAGCTCCAGATCGTATCTGACTTGCTTTAATAAACGGTAGGTCGGCGGGAAACTTCGCCGCTGAGAGGCGCCACTCAGCTGTGCGACAGATGACAATCGCAGTCGCCACGCAGTTGCCACGCAGAAAGAACGGAACACGGATCAACTGTCGGTCCTGCCAGGAACACTTCAGTCCATGGCTTTGCAAAACGTGCGATTTCGAGGCGAATGATGTGTGACTACGGAAAGAGAACGGAGCTCTGAATCGAGAATGACAATGCGTACAATTATCCAATGCGTGATTCGCGGGCGTATTCCCGGCAGCAATCACACATTTATGCTCGCTGAAATCTTTCCAAGTGAACCAGAAAGATGCAATAACATCCATACGTGACTTCTCGAATTCGAATCCGGCATTATGAAATGACATCCGAGCTCGCGGCAAGTTGCGCGGCACCATGCTGGCTCGCAGAGCCTGGGAACGCGCGAAACTCCGTCATAATCTCACCGTCAGCTCAGACCTGCGCGGTCTTTGCGGCGGATCCCTTGCGATCCAATGATCGCCGCGAAAAAAAGGGGATGGCCCTTGATGAACCGTGAGCCGCAAACGTCTTCTTCTGAATGTTCGAGCAACGACCCCTCGCGGGTTGCAACCGAACCGTGTCTCGACGGACACGGGAACCTCGGCTGAACGCGTCTCCTATCCACGGTGACGCGAACCGGCCACACACGATATTCGCAGATGCGCACTTCTTGGTCTTCCGCCTATGAATTATTCATATTCCCTCATGATGCCTCTCCCGAAGCGTTATAAAAGCGCGGGCTCGCGGCTGGGTTGAGGCATCGTTCCAAACAGCCTACCGACCACCCAACAGCCGCCTTCCATGCCGTCCGCCACCCATTTCTACCTGCCCGACCTTCACGCTGTGTGCCCTCTGAAGGGTTCCACCAACCCTCACTACAAGCAGGCCGGGGCCGAGTCTTCTGCCTGGATCAACAGCTACAACGTCTTCACGGATCGGAAGCGCGCCTTCTTCGTCCAAGGATGCAACGAACTGCTCGTCTCGCATACCTACCCATATGCAGGCTACGAGGAATTCCGCACTACATGCGACTTCGTCAACCTGCTGGTAGGATACAGCGAATTGCGTCATACCCTTCGCGTCGTACTGACCATAGGTCTCTTTTAGTTTGTCGTTGACGAGGTTTCCGACGACCAGGATGGCGAGGACGCCCGCAAGACCGGCAACGTCTTTCTCAACGCGATGAGACACGATGACTGGCTCGACGGCTCTGCCTTGGCCAAGATGACCAAAGAGTTTGTGGCAACCACTCCTTACTCACGCGGTCTGAGACTGACATTGCTTCGGAACTGCCTCGATTAGCTTCAGGACCAGATTCCTTCGTCTGGCAGGCCCCGCGTGCGCTCGGCGCTTTTTGAACCACTGCGATAAATACATCGAGGTTAATGGTCATATTGTCCGTTCAATGAAGCATGATGTTCACACGCGCACCTCCAGGCGGTCTCTCGCGAAGCCGAGTATCGTGAACATGGCCTGGTCCTGGACGTCGAGGCTTTCACGAACCTCCGCCGAGAGAACAGCGCGATCCGCCTGTGCTTTGGGCTCTTCGAGGCTGTGCTCGGCATCGATCTGCCAGACTACGTTTTCGAAGACGCCACCTTCATGAGCCTATACTGGGCGGCAGCCGACATGGTCTGCTGGTCCAACGTAAGTGCAGGTCTCATCGTACTCTATCGCTCAGCAACGCTGAAACCGGCCTCAGGACGTCTACTCGTACGATATGGAGCAGGCGAAAGGTCTCAGCGGGAACAATATCGTGACCGTCCTGATGCAAGCCAACGGCACGACCCTGCAAGAGACGTCGGACTACATCGGCGAATACTTCCGCGACCTGATGGATCGCTTCACGGCGAAGAAGGCTATGCTCCCGAGCTGGACCCCGCAAGTCGACGCCGCCGTCGCGCGCTACGTCGCGGCGATGGAGCACTGGGTGATTGGGAACCTGATCTGGAGCTTTGAGACCCAGCGGTACTTCGGTCCTCGCCACGAAGAAGTGAAAGCGACCCGTTTGGTGGTACTGCGGCCCCGTGAGGACCCGGGCAGCAGCGACGAGGTACGATCCCCATCCGACCTCGTGCTCCGTACCCCCCTTTTCCTCACGTTGCGTTTCTCAGGAGATCCAGATCTGAAATAATGCCGCGCAATCCGCTCGCTTGTGCACAGCGCGCCGGCATCTCACAAAAGTTCCCTAGACATCGCGCATCCCGCCTATTGCCCTGTATGCCCATGAGTTATAACGAGTAAATTAATAGTGTAGAATCATCTGTAGAGGCGTGTCCACATTTATATATGGATTGTTTGACCTGCGGCGGATCAGTTGATTGCATCAAACGAGGGGGATGGGAAGGAGTATTGCCTGCGACGAGGTGGAGTATACAATCAAGGGCCAAATAACGTACGATCATAGCTCAGCTCAATACCGTTCCATCTCACGGCTCGCGGGAGCGCGGCGAGCCTAACGATGGTGTATCACGACAGCCAGTCCACGGAGCCATTTACGCCACGAGGGGAGCAGCAAGGCCCCTCGCTCGCACGGGAGATCTAGATCTGTCCATTATGGGCTACAACTCTAAAGCTTGCGTGGATCCGCTTGACGCCCGTGAGTACAGACAACGATTATCCGAGTAATTTTACACATGTACGCAGCATGTACGTATCGCAATCCGCGCATCTCCCGCACTGGCCACGCGCTTCTTCGGCAACTCTTTCAAACGTAGAGCCAGCGACCGCATGCGTCCGCCCAGGCGGCGAGCTCACCCACGCTCTTCGTCTCGAAGGCGCTCCGCAAAAGGGTGTCGCGGAGGGCGATTTGCCCGTCCTCGTGATCCGGTGGGCTCTCCGGAGGGGTGACGGGGGAATGCCTGCGCTGGTGGTAAGGCGAGAGTACGCCCAGGCCGCTACCGCCCACTGAGGTTATGTAGGGTCGGAAGCCATCAGCCGATAGGCTCTCGAGCAGGTCTCGCAGGTTATCTTCCTTGATATCTACGAACATTTCCCGGGAATAATCAGCATGGGGGTCCGGGTGCTCCATGCAGAAGGAAGTCTCACCGTCTGGGACGAGTGTGACGGAGCAGCCTCCGCCCCCGGCGCCTGTGAGCTTGGTGCTCAGATGGTACGGCGCAGATGCGGTCTTCGCTTTGATGGCTTCCAGGGTCGCGTGGGAAACACCCAGGGTGACGAGATGCGCGTGGTTCTCAGCGATTAACGCCTACAGAAGCCGGTGAATATTCAGCCGTCGTATTCACAAAGAGGAGCGATGATGGATTGGAACGCACAGAAAGAGCTGACAGGAGGTCAGACCGGGGCAGCTCAGGGTCTGAGAGCGCCCGGTACGCTTCCTCGCTTATGCTTTGAATGGCCGCAAGAATGCCGTCTACAAGCTCCGGTTCCTATACGCAGAGCATTGTCAAGATGCCGGGGTTAAAGCTCTCGAGCATGCAAGACTCACGCGCGCCTTCTTCTCAGACACGCCGGCTACAAGGCGTTTGGTGTCACGAGATACCGTGGTGTCTGTCAGAAGGAATTTCATCGACTTGAAGCTATGGATGAGAAAGTCAGGACCGGGATGATAATGACAGCTGGGATTCATTGACTTACCCCTGGATGGGTTCCATCCCGCTCTTCCTTCCGAAGCCCGCTCGGGTGTACGCCAACGCACCACCATATACTGCCACGCTGTTGTCGACTCCACTCGGATTTCCATGCAGAATCTTCTCGGCGACGAACGCCCAGCGGTTCACCTCCTCGGCGGTGTCCGGTGGTATCGCTCGTCGTCCCTGATGGGAAATATGTACATGACCTGGCAGGCCATCCTGACCATCGCTCGTCGGCGCTGCAGGTCGGGGAAGGCTGATGCGTTCATGCAGAAGCAGCAGAGAAGTGGCACAGCACACAGAGAAAGACGCCGAAGAGCCGAGCCCTGCACCGACGGGAAGGGTCGCACGGGCCGTGAAGTGGTAGGTCGGCCTGGAACCCCGGGGTCGTGGCGCAGTCAGCGCGCGAGTTCAACGCGGATGGCAGCGAAGAGAACTTGCCTCACGGAACCTTGCGCCAATATCATATACAAATACAAGAATGTTATCGCGGCCTGCCGGGCTTTCGCGTGGTTCCGAAGCTCCTCTGAGAGCGCGCGCTCTGTGATGGCGTCAATGAGCTTCGCGTCCAGGACGTCTGGATGGGCTTCTCCATTCGGTACGGGCGTCACTGCATCCCATGGCAAGGATTCGACGTCCCACTCGAAGTACAGGTTGTCTATGTCGTGGAAATGAACCGAAATCTTGTCGTCGTATCGAGGTGAGGCGAGACCGTAGCAACGCAAGTCGACGGAGGCCGCAATTGCAGTCTAAAGATGCGTCAGACGCGGCGCGTAAGCCTCAGGGAGTATACTCACGACTCCGTGCACGACAGCGTGCTCTCCGAACAAGATGACCTTTCCCGGGGCGCTGACGAATATTTCCTGATGCTGCGGACGCTCCTGCATGGCGAGTTTCTCCACAGCGCGGCTGCAACTCGGCTCTCAGCACGGAAAGACAGACCAGGGAAAATGCGGAATCTTACGTAATAGAAGCTGGTTCGGCTTGAAGAGGACGCTTGGCGCGGACATAATGATGTTCCTTATTCGCAGCGTCGAGGGTGATAGCACCCGCCTCCAACAAAGCACGCTCAAGGTCGTCCAGGAGATCCGACGGATCCTCGATACCGACGCAGAGCCGAATCAGGTCCTCCGGAAGACCGCGGGCAGCACGGGTAGCAGCGTCAATGGACGCGTGACTGGCGATAATACAGCCGGTGAGCATTCGTCACGTTCGGAGCCGCGTACAACACTCACGACATGACGCAGGGCATACTGATCAACGAGTTCACGGCCCCGAAGCTGACGCTAATACCCCAGAGCCGCGTCGCGCCCACGATGCGTTCGCTGAGCGCCTTATCGCCGGTCGTGAAGCTCAGGACCGCACCGTATCCGGACGCGATTCTCTCGTGGATTTCTCGGCCGGGGTGGTTCGGCAGCCCGGGGTAGTGCACCTATTACATCGACGAAGGCGTCACTCTTGGGTCAGACAACACGAGTGCATTGAACTGAGGAATGGGGATCCCGCGTACCTGGAAGCCTAGGCCCTGAAGCATGGTGGCCACGGCCATCGCGGTAGCTTGTTGACGATCCATGCGGATGGCGAGGGTCTTAATGCCCCGGAGGAGGAGGAAGGAGTCGAACGGTGTCAGAGCATTCCCGACCGAGTTGATAATGAATGCGATTTGCTAGCGGAGGTAAGTGGTCAGTACCAAGTCTCCATCCATAATGGCTGGCGGCCGCTCATGCCGAACCGCGCCGGAATGCTCCGCGTTTCGCACAACTTGAAGATTCGGAAGTGGGTTGATTAGAGCTAACCTTGGCTATGTCGTCGCGATTGCAGCAGATGACGCCCGCCATCAGGTCGTGGTGGCCGCTGAGGTACTTAGTGGCGGAGTCGTACACGATGTCCGCGCCGTGCTCGAGCGGTCGCTGCAGGTACGGGCTCATCATCGTGTTGTCGACGACCACGAGCGCGTTCGGGCTGCGCTCCTTCACGTCCTTGCTGATCCGTGCGATGTCGCATATCTTCAGCAGCGGGTTAGTGGGCGACTCCAGGAGGACCATCGCCGTCTTCGTCGGATGCAGATGAGGCAGGACGGAAAGTGGATCCGTCGTGTCTACATGGTGGACTATAACGCCCGAATGGGTCTTGAGGTACGTGAGCAGGCGGTTGGTGCCGCCGTACAGGTCGTCGCCGGCGATGACTTCGTCTCCCGGCTTCAGGAGCCGCGTGATCACGTCGAGCGCTGCCATTCCAGATGATACTGTGAATGCATGGCCGGCGGCAGAAATCTTTGCGATGTGGTGCTCTGTTGGTTGTCTCACAGTTAGAGTTCGCTCTCTGCTAGGATCCGGAGAAGAACGGGGTCGCCATCAAGGAAGCGCCTGCGTTCGAATCTTCCAGCGCAGCGAGAAGGATGCAAAGCAGCTCGCCAAAAGGGTGTACTTTCCACGATAGTATGAATAAAGCAGAGCGCCCATCCGGGGCTCGAGAAGGGACTGCGTTGTGCAGAAGCCGGATACTCACGCAGATGAGTTCGGGTCGGGTTCCCGCTGCGGGTGTAGTCATACTCTCCCTCGACGCCCTTGAAGGTCGCGGTCTGGTAGATTGGAATCGAGCTTGAGCCGTACTGGTCCTTTTGAGTCGGATGTTCGACTGTCGCGCAGAGCGTCGAGAACTTGTAGGGCTGCCTCGGCCGAATGGGTGACTCCGGCTCGGGAGTGGGCAGGTCGTGGGCGATGGCCTTGCTAGAGGTCGACACCGAGGGCGGCGCCATTGTCGTCGTTGTCGTCGTTGAGGTCGGTTGCAAAGGAGGTTTTCGGCCGTTGAGCGACCTTTGACTGTGATCATTGCGGGGAAGCCAGCGATTGCGTGACTGACTCGCGGCCGCTTACGGCCTAGGCGTATTGCAGAGTACGCGCAAGTATTCATGCCGAGGAGGCCCCTTTCTCGCACAACAAATACATGCCTACCTCACATATACGTAGACCCTTGACTCTGTAACATAGTGCACTTTTTTCTGTGCAAGAAAGCGAGCTAGCGGACGTTACTCGGACTAAAGACTTCGTGAAAGAGCAATGTCGGGATCACGTGCAGCTCTGCACTCCAAGAGGAGGAGCGCCACGTCGAATCGCCGTAACATCCTCTTCTCTTCGTACGGTCTTTGGTCCTCATGCGTTTCCAGTCGATATTCGGTATTTTGGCCCTGGTTGCAGGGGCACTTGTCTCTGTCAATGCCTGTACGGTTTTTTGGACTGTTGCATGATCGCATCTGCTCATGTGCGCGACTTTGCAGCCCCTCTCGGTGATCCTGCGGAACCTGAGGTGGTCGTGCACGCCGCTTTCCCTGAGGAAAATGTCTTCGGACGTGCGCTTTCCCTCTTGTACGAAATCGTTCTAGAAACTGATATTGTGTTTGTGACCAGAGGTGGTGAACGGAGAGCGGAATAAGATGCTTCTCCTCATCGAGAACAACTCGGAGCACAACATCACCCTGCTGAACGCCGGGGGCTCGATCCACCACGCAGAATCTGGTGCTCTGGTTAAGAACGTGCGCAATCCGTTGCTGAAACTCTAATTCGCCGAGGGGAGATTGACTCGTACAACAGGTGTCACAGCTAACATATGGTCTCCCGCTCCTTGAAGGCGCGAAGATCCAGCTTCCTTTCACCTTCTACAGCGAGTGCGTATGCTACATTCCGCTACCACGAAATATGTACTGATGCGTGGTGACGCTCAGGTTCAAGGTATAACAACCGCACAGGCCGATACAAGTACACCCGCTCATTCCTATCCTCAGCCCGGTGACCACCGTCTTAAGCTCTGGTTACAACATGCCGCCGAGGTACGATTTCCTCGAACTTTCTGTTGAACTGTGACTGAACCTTGGTTCAGGGCACGGTCTACCAAGTCGACGCCTACGATGGCATCATCACCGTCGTCGAACCCGAAGTGTCCTGGTTCGACATCAAACTGTACGCCCCAACCTCCCTCTCCAGTCCTTCCCTCCCTCCCTCACTGACACGTCCAAACTGATCCCCAGCATCCTCACCTACATCTTCACTACCGCCATCCTCGGCGGGCTCGGCTACGTTGCCTACGTCTCCTTCGTCCCGCAGACCAAGAAGGCACGCAAGCCGAAGACTTCCGCCGTGAGCGAGCCCGTCGCGGTGACCGCGACCGGCGCGGGCGGCTACCAGGAGGAGTGGATCCCGGAGCACCACCTCAAAAAGCCCAAAGCGACGAAGCGGACGAAGAGCGGGAACGTCACGAGTGGCGACGAGCTCAGCGGCGCGGAGAGCGGCGCGGAGAAGAAGCGGAGCACGAGGAGGAAATGAGAGAAAAAAAGTTGTTAGGCTACTTGTAGGTGAAATCTGGCGATGGCGACGGCGTCCACCGGGAAGATAATCGACCAGAGGGTGCGGAGGGTTATCTCAAAACGGGGTTCTACGCGTGTTATATATTTATGTTGCTCGTACACTCCGATAATGCTACCCGCTTCCGGCATGTTCACTTTTGCACGGCCGCAATGGATCATCCTTCGAGAGGTGGCAAGATGTATATATGTGCGAAGGAACCCACTCATAAGGGAGCTCAAGGCTAAGCAGAGCGGTCGCGTTCCGGCTCTGTGCATATGCACCCATCGAGGAGAAAACGTGGACAAGTAAATGAGGGTTGCTTGGGACCTTCCGACATGCAACACGCAAGGAGAGGAGATAAGACAAGTCGACACGCTGTCTTGCACCCTGCGCAAGAGTACAACGCTCTAACGACCGCGTCATACGTCTACGTTCTTGTACCCCTTCACCTGTATACGAGAGAGCACCGGTCAGCAACGCGCATATATTCCCGAGAACCGAAGCCGCACGCACCCTGCTCTCCTGCAGCATACCCAGATACCTGTCCACCAAACTCCGACAGTTCTCGTTGTGGTTCACGCCCTCGACCTTGTAGCATTTGTCAAGCTGCTCCTTGATGAGTCGGAGCTCCATGGCCCGAATCCAGGACTCGCGAACGTGGTCGTCCCGAGCCTTCAGGACGGCTACAGACCGAAATTGAAAAGAAGAAGGCCAGAGTTCAGCTAGGAGAGGAAATTGGAACGAGATAAATGACCGTGCCTTTCATCTGCTCGATTGTTATGTGGTTCGCAGCCATTGCAGGAGACCAGTAGGGAAGTGGTGGTGGCGGGAGTCGGCGTACTGATCAGCTCGGCATTCGCCGGCCAGCAGGCGTCCTCTCATCGGTTGGATATTACCAATCGCTTTACTATCTGCTACGAACATGAGCGTGTACGACTCCCTGGCAGCAAGTCTACGAATATCAATGGAGCGACCCAAGATGACAACATCCAGAAAAGACCGACGGTGAGACGACAAATACTATGTTACAAAGAGGTTTATATCGCGAGAGAATGTCCGGTTTCTGAGACCTACGACAAGTTCTGATCGCAGTGACTCGTTGTTGAGGTAACAAATAGGTCTATATGAATCCTGCCGCCCTCAGGTTTCGCGCCAAGCGCGCCTCGGGGGACATATCGCTTTCGTCGGGCATGTCGTCGCCCTGTTGTTCCTCCGACACTTCGTCTCCGAAGTGAACGGCGAAGGCGGTCCGGAAGTTGTTCCGCATTCTTTGCTCGTCTTCAGGGGTGACCTGGGTGCTAACGACGGGCTGTCGCGTAGAGGCGAGGGACAGCTCCCAGCGCTTGACGCGCCAGAAACCGACAAGAGACGTCAGGAGCAGGAACCAGCCTGGGAAAGCGATATCGTAAGACATGGGATGAGGAGTGGTCTCCAGGGAGCACGTTGTACGCACCGACGGTCATGAGCAGGAAGGAGAGCCATTCACGGGTGCTGATCCAGTGTTGCTTCCACTGCTCGGGCGTCGCGTCGGGAAGCTGCACGTCGGAGCCGTCGGGGGGCCAGGTGCCGTTGATGGACGTGCCCATGCCTATGAAGGTCGTCTGGGTGTCGTCCTCCATCACTGGCATCTGCTGGTTGCGCGAGTAGAAGCCGAACTGGATCATCGTCAAGCCCAAGCCTGCACGAGAACCGAACCTGGAGGTTATGGTGTCCATGAGCAAGGAGCACACATACAAGCCGATCGATAACACTTACTTTGCGGCATGGCTAGTGTGCTAGCAAGGTAAAAGCCCCTTCAGCCTTAGCACCTCGATCAGCGGGATAAAAACAACGTACCAGGAGATACGTCATCACAAAGCCGACGAATTGGAAGAAGAACGAGATGAAGCAGTTGACAACGAACGTCGCCAACGAGCCCACGGGCAGATCCTCGACAATCATCTCGCCTCCGAAGCCCGATCCAGGGGCCAGGACCGTCGTCTCCCAGTACGGAGGCACGGCATCAGCTTGGGCAGACGCGTAAGACTGATCTTTGTCAGCGACATGATACGAGCGTTTCAACGAAAACCAACGTACGGGAGGTGCATCCCTCTGCGCCTCCTCCGGCACCATATGAACGTCCCCTTGCTCGTTGGTCACCGGGACCTGGCGGCCGGGCTTCGCCGTCACGTTCGCGAACACGCCGTCGTTCTGGACACCGCCCCCTATCACCCGCCCCGACCTGCCCGCCTCCTCCTCGCTCGCGGGCACCCGCGCGTAGTGCGTCGGCAGCAGCGCACCGACGGCCTTGCGGAAGAACGACGGGCGGGGCGGCCGGGGCCGCGCTACGGCGTTGTCGTCAGGCACGAGCCCGTTGGAGTTGCCGATCGCGTTGGGGAGCGCCGTGTCGGCCGGGCGCGGCGGCGAACCTGGCGGCGGGCGGTCGTAGTCGTAGTCCCTCTCGAAGTCGTACGTGCCCGGAGCGGGCTGCGAACGGCTTTGCTCGGTGTGGTTGCGGGTGAGCGGGGTCGACTCTAGTTGGTCGTCTTCACCGTCCGACTCGAAGGCGGCTTCGAGCTCTTGCTCCCGATCTGGAAGAGAGCGAGGGTTCGGTAGAGGAGCGTAGCGTGCAGGCATTGTGCACGGCCCTCAACGGTGTATAGGAAAGGTGGATGGGGATGAAGGATGCTAAAGGAGTGAAGATGCGCGTCTCTACCGCATCTGACGAAGCGGTCGAGAAGGCGTGGGAAATGCCCTGGAAGCCAAGAGCTCACCGACGCCAAGGCTTGACCTCGTATTTATCCTCGCCAAAGTGTTCGCTGCGTCATCTCTATATTACCAAGATGCTACTTGAACATAGTGCACTAGCTATTGTATACTGCGAGATATACCCCAGGTTGCACCCGTGAACAGATCACCGTATTCAAGTTCGCTTTTAACCTTTGCCTTCGCTACAGCAAGCAAAACTTCGTGGTGGTCTACTTATGTCATACAAGACCAGAGATAAGGACGTACGATTCACTAGTATGCCATGTTGAGATTCGTGCTCTTCACACTTTCTGGTTCGGCGATGGTGGGTCCACCTCTTTCGCGCTCGCCCGGAGGTCAAAAGTGGGAATGACTGATGCCCTCTCTGCGTCGGATGCAGAGTCATAGACGCGCCTCGTGTTTGCAGTAGATGACCTCTCTTGAATATGGGATAGATGGATTGATATTATACCATCTGAGTCTCCCTTCACCATGTCCCGGGCGTTCAAACTGAGTATTCTGGTGTCAGATAGAATCGGTTAAAGTCGGATCTCTTACCTGTAGAGTAATGAGTTGAGGTATAGCTTAGGCATTAGCATGTAAGTGGCCATATAGACGTAGTTCATGGGGCCCAAGATATACTAGGAAAAGAGGACGTTAGGCTTATCACCGGGAACATTTCGTGATAGTTTCCGCGTACGACGACGAGTCCAATTATGGCGTCAAGGCTGTGTGACATGTTAGTGATTAGAATCGCAGTTCATAGTAGTTGAGATATGAGATATAATACGGACGTAGTTAACAGCCCTGGTAAGTAACGAAGACATCAGTCGTGCTGCGCGTTATCGGTAGGCTAACCATACCGGTGCCAACAACGTATACGAGCAGTATAGTAATCAGATTATCAGTTCTGCGAACCCATGGGTCAGACGTTGCATATCAATTTCAAATAGTTCTGTACCTCTTGAATCCAGTTCTAAAGGAGTTGTCAAACAAGTCAGGGCACGAATCTCAAGTTTGGATAGAGGTGTCGCGATCTTACCTTGACCGCCAAAGGTACCATGATAATGAAAGTGCCACCGTCGAGTCCGCGACCAGGATGGCCGCGAAGCTCACATAGAGGGGAGCCTAATGGTTCCATTAGATAGGCGATTTTGGTGCTGTCACTTGCGCATACAGCGATGGTAGTTGCGATTGATGTCCCCGCTTTTCCAAACCTGCAACCCAGGATAAGCTCCTTCAGCATGCATGTACTATGACACAGTATTGAAGATGTATGCGTACGCCTTGATTGTGATCACTAGGATGATTATGTACCGTTGAGTAATTACCCCAGCTGGGAGTGTATCACGTCTCACCTATGCCGCAAACTAAGAACGGTATCAGGATAAGGCACACAGAGCACCGGAGAGAAAAGCGCACCGATATCCATGACCGAGAATGTGACCTATAGACAGTTTGTTACCGACATGACAATGACGTATGTATTGCTCACAATGATTGCAGTGATCGTAATGTTTCCCTTGCTGAGAAGCCACACTCGTCTGGCAAACATGATGCGCACGAGAACATCGCACAAGGACTAGGATGGGGTATAATCCCGTCAACTCCTGCCTGGAAGTGCACACTTCGCCTACCGTGACTCCGACCACAACCTGAATATCATAAGTATCACGCTTATTAAAGAGCCTATCGGAAATGTGCGTACTCTGAGACTCCTGCGTTGGTGATGGCGAGGTGAGACGTATATCGGACGTTCTCACCTATATGTACTCACCACACTGTTTGGACGAGGCCAGCCGGGTTGGAGTAATTGGTGACGAGGAACCAGTAGGTGAAATGAGCGAAAAGGAATGTATGGAAGGTGTCGAAAATCCATAACACGCATACCTAATAAATTCACCGTTATGATATATATCACTCTGGTGACGCATGTACTTACACAGAACCTAAACCGTGGATGCTTGCTCGAGTGTTTTTAGAGAAAGTCAAAGCTTTGAATGCAGGTAATTCCGTACAACGCGGACGCGCAGAGTGCACCGATTAATAATGGGCTAAGTATGAGGTCAAGGTTGGGAGCTCCAGCAGACATTGTCGGGACGATCATCGACATAGGCCGAGGAGTGTTCAACGCTACAGCTGTATATGTAGTTCATCCATCGTTACGACATGCCTTGCAGGCTGGGTGTCGAGGGTTCATTCAAATATATAATATGCTGTGCTGACAGAGTTCCTTCTGAGGTCACAGATCAGATGGCAATGGATAAGGTTTCATATATGGAACCTTAGTGCCCAACGCGATAGAGTACTTACGCTAAGTCTATTATCCGCCCAGTATCAGGTTTCTCTCCTGTAAGTGTCTTGAGCATACAGCGACAATCACACGTACTGAATCTACCATTCTGCGATCCTCATGGAGTTATCCATGGCGTTGACGGAACGATCGTGGCCCTTCGAGGCTATTTATACAGCGGGCTACATCGGCATATCAGAGGCTTCGAGGACGCTCCTGGCGGCAAGTAACATATTCTATGATGATGCTGCTATATTGAAACTGTGCCGTCGCTGGAAATGGCGAAATCAGTCTTCGTGCAGTCCTACGGGACGTCGCGTGGTATTCTGCTCGAGGTTCTCGGTTAATAATAGTACTTGAGTAGACTTCCGATGACTACCGCTGAGGAGCGATCGTGTCTACATCGGTGCAATACCAGTGCATTTTGATAGAACCTACGAGCCTTGTGTATGAGGCTGTAGACGTACCCAATTGATGGAAGCCATTACGAAACCTTCGAAGCTCCGAGCACTGCTCCCAATCCTCTGCGAGTGAAGGGAGAATCACGGATCATCACAGCGACAATGATGCTCCGAGGACAAGTCTCCACAGCTATACATATGGGTAGAATGGGTATCCATATCAGCAACGATCCCTCTTCCACGGGCGATGCCTTATCCCACAGAGAACCAGGCAGCAGAAATCAAGGCTGCTAGTGAATGGCTCAGGGAAACCGAGAGATTAAGGTTGGCGCAGGCAGCGTAGGATGAGAGGATGAGAAAAGATCGCGCGAGCCGGGAAGGCTCTCGCCTCCAGCATGGTACTATGAAGCGATGCGTGAATGAAACTTAGGAGAGCCTATGTCGCGCCTAACCCGGGTGAAGTTACCCAGGAGACCAAGTTTGTACCGCCGATCGTCGCGAGAGTTTTTATACGAGAGTTTGGCGACAGGTGATCCCGTACAGCGCTGTCGCGCAGAGTGCGCCGACGAGCAACAGACCGAGAATGGTTCAGAACTTAGGGAGATCCCTTGACAAGGTCGACAAGGAATGGGTCACCCTCATAGGCTGAAGCAAGCCCGTGACGATAAGGCAGCGTGAGCATGGCACTGTGCAGTAATCTGCGATGCTGATTGATTGCGGATCATGAAATATAGAATACATTGGATCTGGAAGAAGGGAGATTGCAAAAGGTTGAGTATATGTCGTCGGTATTTTACGGAATGTGCAACGGACATTGGTGTTTGCTGAGGACATCGGCATATTCGAAGAGAAACATACTGGCCTCACGTACTTGCAGCCTTCCACCGACCTGCGATACGATCAAGGGCGACGTACCGGCGCTCCAATGCGCAGCAGCACTTCAACAGCCTTAACTCAGGTAAAATGCCCGGCGCATGAGCTAGTGCTAATGCATTCTGATGCAGGGAGTAAGTTCCTCCTAAGTACGCATTGCCCGCAGCCCCGTGGGGGCTCGCAACTTTTGAACGTGCAGGTCGTGTCTACGCTTGGGGAGCCAGAGATGAAGACCGGAAATGCGGGCCAACATCTTGATTTCACCACGCGCCACAGATGTACTGTACCTCAAGCCCTTGGCGCATAACAGCTAAAAGTCGTGTATCGTCGTGTCATGATGTGAACATGCCTCAATTGGACGCATTTTCACGAGCGGGTAAGAGTCTAAGGTATAGCTTGGGCATCAACATATAGGTGGCCTCATATACCTAGTTCATTGGCACGACGATATACAAGAAGAGGATGTTAGACCAGTCCTATGAAGTGCGTGTACGGTGATGAGTCCAACTATGAACCTTCAGCAGACGATGAATCAATCTTCTCACTGGCATGTAACTGTCTTTGGTAGACAACGCATGAGAGGGTAGTTCCTGAAGCGCATTCTTTTCTCAGAGTGCTCAACTTTTTAAGATGCAATCGGCAGAGATTGTACTCATGCAATCACAGATTTATAGAGGCATCTTATGCGCTTTCCGCTTAGTCACGTTTGTGTTGTTGTGCTAGTGCGTATACGGAGGGACTACAAAAATTGATACTGAACGCCTTTATTCTTTGACGTCGGCGGAATTAACAAAACCAGGACTCCTCTCGATGCCAAAGGTGCTAACACAGGTTCCACTGGTGTTTTCTGGTTGAGACGGCCTACGAATTTGGGACAAATGAACAGATATGATTCCGTCTGTGTTGTCTCTGAGCATGTCGCGAGCATTCAAGCTAAGCATAAACTAAGTCAGGAACGAGGATCTGACGGGACCTGTAGATTTCATACCTATACAACAGAGAGTTGAAGTAGACCTTGGGCATCAACATATAAGCTGCGAAGTAGACATAATTGTTCGGCAACGTCGTGTACTGCGGAGTCAGTCGGTTTTGGTCAGCGAAGCTCATATCAACGTCGTGAACATTCTGAAACATACAGTAGCAAGGGTGACCACGGAAAGAACGCTGGGAGAAATATCGAGATATGAGAATCAAGTGGAAAATATCCTATATGAAACGAACACCGTGAGGAATCCTGTTTTTCGGTGTGTGTCACGGTTATTTGACCGCACTGCCTTCGACAGTATTATGATGTCAACACTTGCCTGTGCCTATCACGTATACCAAAAGTATGGTAATGAGGTTGTCAGTCCTACAAGAAGCATGAGAACCGCGATACAGGGCCATAGTTCATTCCCATCTCACCGTCTGAAGCCGGTTCTGCAGGAAAGAAGATATTAGCACATCGAACGTCGTGAGGAATTACACCCGGGTCACCTGGCATGCCAGAGATACCAGGCTAACGACGCGGCAATTACTAGGTCCGCCACGATAACACTGACAAAATTCACGTATATGGTGCTCTAAGCATGGCGTCCATCAGCAAGACACGGAACCGAGCAAACTTTCCACGTACAGAAACGGAGCTTCTGATATTGGCAGTCTGACCCGACTTTCCGAAGCTTATAGGGGCACAATTAGTCTCGTGAGAGGGAGAACACTTTTACACGTTATAATGCATTACGCTTTCACTGTGAGTACTACAAGGAGTTGTGAGATCCGGACAGACACCAGTGGTAAGTATAACTGACCGATGCCGCTCGCTAATATGCGATAATATGGTGTGATTAGTACGGAATGTATGATCCTGGGGGCCATCCACTTACCTAGGTCCATGATCGAGAATGCACACTGCTGTGAAGTGAGCGAGTACGCGAGACCGCGAAGAAAATGCCCACGATGCATAAAGTTATCAATAGGTTGCCTTTGCTCAGTAACCAAACCCGCTTCGCAAACAGCAGGCGCACGAGAACATCGTTAAGAGCCTATATAGGGTTATCGTAAGACAATAAGAGTAGATGATATGAGCCGTCATGCTCACGGATGCACCGACAATGATCTTTACGTGCCGTTGCCAACATATCATTGACACATCGCGAGATCGAAGTAGACATACACTCACTCTCAAGCTCCTGGAAAGCGGTTATTCATACTCGAAGTCAATATCCGACCGACATCCACTCACCATACAGGATTTGCTAACGCGAGGACATTGAGATAGTTGCTCACAAGGAACCAATAGGTGAAGTGGGATATCATGAACATGTGGAATGTATCAAGCATCCAGAGCATGCAGACCTGAAAAGGGCAGCAGCCGCCGTTAGACCTCGCTTCCCGGATGACGAGTCAACCCACGCATAGTTTGTACCACCGATTATCACGGGAATGTTTGTATAAGTAATGGACTGTTTGAATACAGGTGACTCCGTACATCGCCGCTGCACAGAGTGCACCGACGAGGAGCGGGCCGAGGATGGTCTGGATATTGGAAAGAAGAGTTTCCATTCTCAAGGCAAGGTAGAATCACGGCAACAACTTGGACGGCTTGAGTCTGTCTCTTATATGTGAAACGAGACAAGAACGCACCTACATAGCCATGAATGTGCCGTCTGCTGAGAACGCACTGGGCGGGTTCTTCTAGGATGTTGATTGATATAGACCAGCCGCTTCGATTGAGCATGAAAGAATAGAATACATGAGAGAATAGGGTGCAACCGCACGAATGGGGCTTCAGACAGGGTTGAGTAGGTACCTTGCAAGCTGTAACGTACGTCAGTGAATGCTGAAGACTTCAATTCCGCCGGGGATCGTTCACGCACCTGATATACAGAATATTTGAATGAATCTGGTCTGCTGGAGTTTGCGTACCATGTGACACGCGGTGTCCGTAACTGAAACTGAGGAACTGATCAATGGCAATGTACAAGCGCTGCGATGCGCTGTAGTTCTTGGAGGCCTTCGATCCGGCAGAACAGCCTGACACGGCGACGTTGCGCTAAACAAGGATCGGTCCAGGGAATAAATGACCTACGCAGGGTGATATACTGTCTCACAGGGCTGCACGGGGTGTTCGCGGCCAAAACTGTGTTGGTGAAGCCAGATACTGCCAGCACGTTCGATCTTCGGATAGATCTATCTGAAGCGTATTCAACTTCATCAGCGGCGCCCATGCCTCAAATTTTCTCATGCATCATAAGCCTGGCACTGGCTGCGATCGGCTTTGTTCGGTACAGTTGGGGGTGAGCAGGGTCGACTCCAGTTGGTCATCTTTGCCTCCGACTCGCAGGCGGCTTCGAGATCTTGTTCCCGGTCCGACAATGAGCGGGGATTGTATAGGGGAGCGTAGCATGGAGGCATAATGCACTGCCCTCGACAGTGGATAGGATAGTGATTCTGAACGCAGGACATGCTGAACGGGTGGGAGATCTGACGAACGCTCGACAAAGCGTGGGAAATAGCTGTGACTGAGTGACACTCACAGTGTATAACACACGGGCTCGGTCCCGCAATTACTTTTCGCCCGGTCCACAGGGACCATGTATGCTCGACCAAAATACAAAAAACGACATGTTACGGCCTTGTAGGTATCTGAGTAGTGTACGATATGCTTATGCACGATACGATTCTCGCCCCAGCTCAACGAAAGACTTACAACGGTCTATCGTCCGAGCCTCTTGAGAGTCTGGCTTAGCCCGTCGTCACACTCAGCAAGCTCCCCGCAAAAATCTGCAGGGATCCTCGTCCTTCGACATTGCCAGCTCAGTAGGTTGTAAATGACATCCCAATATCCGGATTGCATCTTCTACGATCCTACTGTGTGCGCAACCCAAAAACTACTGGTCAACATGTTGCCTATCATTGCCCCGATATCCTGATGCATCTCCCAGTCACTCTTTGACGCCGGCGCAAACGTCAAGCTCGAGATAACACGTACCCCTCTCTCGAGACCAGGAGCTCGGGCACACAATGTCACGCAGCTGTGCAGCGCAGGACGCAGAGTACGGAGCTGGGACAGATGTGGAGATATTACACCGTCTGTGCTCACCTTCAGGTGGTCGCGCTACGCGTCCAAGAAAAATATGCAACATTCGCACAACTAGCTAGGACAAGAACATCGAACAAAGACAGTAACGTGCGGTTCTTTCAGCAGGCAGAAAGGCAATTAATACATCTCAGGCGCCAAGGGCAGCAGGAGTCAGCGTGAAGCCGAGGTTCTCGAGGATGCCGACGATGCTCGTGAGGATAATCAAACGACCTCAGCACTGTATGCCAGAATGGAAAAGGAAACGTTTATCGATCTTACAGCTGAGTGACGGCCCGCGACGCTTGGAAGCCGTTAGGACCTTTCCCACACGCCCTCGACCTATTCGACGCTCATGGATTTCGCTTGCGGTACAGGTTGGCGCCTGGATCGTATTTCTCCATATGTCATCAAGACAGGGCGAGTATCACGCCGAGGACGAGGAGTAGGTCATCGACGGCGGTGTCCAAGTCGGCGAGGATATCCTGAATAAGGCCGGTTTTGCCATCCAGGGTGTCGTCGAGGGCGACGACCAAGTCCTACGGGTCGGGAAATAAGGGCGTCAAAACCGTGCGAGGTTCGGCGATGCGAGTACGACTTACGCCGACGATGGCAGAGATGGCTTGGGCCACTTGAGCGAGGGCGGCGCCTTCGACAGCGCCGGTGTCAGGGGTCGTTTGGTTCATGGCGGTCGACGCGGTAGGTAGGTAGGTAGGTATATTGCCGACGAAGTCCCGGTAGCGGAACAGCCGGTTGCTGCGCTGCACGTACGCCACTCGTGCAGTCGACAGCGTGCCGCGGAGTTGATGGCGTTCGTAATCCGCTGAACGTATGGGGCGACCTGGCTAGCGGAGGCCGGGCTGGCGGGGTTGCCCAAGGCAGCTTGGGTAGACGAGTTAGGCCGAGGTATGTAGGTTATCCTGAGTGGGAAGCAACTGACCGATCTGTTGGATCAGAGGCTTGACCGTGATTCTAAGCTCGTTGACGATACTCTGAACCTCGCCAGGGGTCGAAAAGCCGGAAGCATGAGAGACAGGCTTGGCGAGAGCGACGAGCCCGAAGGCAAGGTAGAAGAGAGCTAGAGAGAGGATGCGAGGAGCGAGCATTGTGACGATTGACGGTCAAGTGAGTGAGACCTTAGCTGGTCTCCCGGAAGAGAGGAAGCTGGGTTCGCTGAGGATTATTCTGTCATGAAGGGAACCTTCTTATACTCGTCGACCAGAGACCAGAACACCGCTCATCGGACAGGCGCATTTACGTCTTTGCTTGCCGCCCGTTGACGGGTGGAGGTCAGTCGGTCATGGCACCCGGCTCAGATGAGCAAATACTGTACCAGCTTCGCAGGCCATCGGATCGCACAAGACGAGCATCCCAAGAGCAGATAGCCTCGAGTCGGGATCCTGTATACAACCGCATACCCATAATAAAACTCGGCTTCCCCCGGACATCGAAGGAGGCTGGGCACCGATGATTTGCCCCAGAAAGGAAGGATTGATGCTTTTTATGGACATCCGCGCCATCGCCCACGTCCCCACCGAGCAATGCTTTGTCGCCATGTGTATCACCGAGAGCGCGTGTTCTGACGGACCCCTGTTATTTCGCCCAACGGACATACGAACTGTGCATGACCACGTAACGAAGGAGCGTTCGGAACGTCTGCATACAGTCTTTGTCGGCAAGCCAACAGAACCGGGTAGAGCAGTTGACAATTGCAATTCTTTCGCTGCCCGGCACTGGGAGCAGCCAACTTGCCAGGAAGTCGTGGAACATCGCCATCTCGTCAGAGTCCATGATATAATCATCATGGGCGGCCGCAAGTCGAGCTAGATAGTACGATGGTTCGACATTCCACAGTTAAATTATTCAACCGAGGCTAAGATTCAACCGTATTAGATTGTGAAAATTGCATTGAGAGTTTGTAGGCGATATAAGCATGTTGCTTAGCAGCCACGATACCTAGTTCCATCATTTTGCACTGATGTCGAAGGTTGGTATATCTGAGCCTCTCTCGACGTCGGAGTCATGATCGCCGTTTCCTCCAGAAGTCTCTTTCTGGGGAGCTGAACCTCGAAGCTGGGATAGATGTACGGATATGATGCCATCTGTGTTCCCCTTCAGCGTGTCGCGAGCATTCAAGCTGGCAAGCGATACTCAGATTGGGTCAGGCATCATCGAGAATTGTGTCAATACCTATAGAGCAGACTATTCATGTAAAGCTTTGGCAAGAGCAAGTAGATGGCCATATAGGTATAGTTCGTCGGCAAAGCTATGTACTGCTCGGCCACGAGTCAACGTCAGATTATATGAGCTGTACTTGGGCTAGGTCTACTCACGATACCAACGGTAACAACGTTGACCGCCCTGATACAGCGTCAGCTACAGAATATCGCCGTGGATAAGGAAATTTTCACACGAACACGGTCAGTAACCCAGTGCCTATGACATAAACCAATAGAAATTTGATCAAGGTGTCAGTCCTGTCGTGAATGTCATGAACCGCACAGACCAACTGTATCTCTTTTGACCTCAGCATACCTTCTAAAACCAGTCCTGTGCAAACAAAATCAGCCTGCAACTCGATGTAGGAGTTACAGCAACTTATTACCTCGCATGCCAAAGGTACCAGGATAGAGACAGCGCGATGATGAGGTCTGCACCGAGTACGGCGGCGAAATTGACATAAATCGAGACCTAAACAGTACAATCGTCATTTCTGTGCCATAGCGTCGGCGCTAAAGCGTACGGAAGTAGAACGTCGAACCGCCGCCGCATCCGCTGCGGACGAATCCACGTATCTAGAGCGTGTGTCATCCGATGATGTTCCATTTACACAAGGAGTAAGCTTGTAATCGTACGGTTTGATTGTAACAACTGTCGGAAATATTAGCTTTGTACTTGTACAGCGTTGGAGCTCATGAAAAAAACATACAAAGTGCGCTAACTGTTGAATACGTAAGATTCAATGGTTCGACACCGATGGGTTACTTATGGGCACGTACTGATGTCTATGACAGCGAACAAGATCTGGAACTACAGTGTCATGGCTGTAGATTATTCCACATGAATGGACACATACAATGCACGTTGTAATCAAAATATTTCCTTTACTCAGGATCCACACTCGCTTGAGGTACATGATTCTCACGAGCAGGTCGCACAGCGCCTAGCAAGGTTAGGGGGCTCGGATTATGCCTGCCTGGCATGAATAATCTGAACGCACTGTAATTCCAACAATCATCTGCATGAAATGAAATGAAATGTGTCAAATCAATCTTGATTATGGTACCGGCGGTCTGAAAGAGGCATACTCTGAAGCTCCTAGAAGTGAGGTAAATTTGAGTATAAACTAAGCAAGTCAAGGTGAGTATACGTACCATACAGGTTTGGCCAAAGCGAACGGGTTGGAGTAATTACTGATAAGAAACCAGTAAATAAAATGGAAGATGATGATCATGTGAATTGTGTCAAAGAGCCACATTGCACAGATCTACAATGAGTGTCCGTGAGTGTATTGATATGAGCATACAGTGGAGCCCTAACACAAAACTTGGACCATGGTTGTTTTTTGGAGAATTTGTACAAGTAATCGAAAGTTTGAATACAGGTTACCCCGTACAGTGCCGATGTGCAAAGTGCACCGATGAGTAGTGGGCCAAGTGAAGTTCCAATATCAAATTTAGGAGGGGCTATAGACATATTCGGAGAGAATGGCTGGTGCTCGATGTGAAGACAGCCATATACCACCGTACCCCTTCTTTTATATCTGGCAGACCCGAGATACGTCAATGGCAGTAGTCGCTCTTACGTGTGTCCAGAAGTCGATACCGGACATCATGACGCATAGTGGAACCATCAAGAAGGGGGAGAACGGTATAAATCCACATCTCTTCTATGCGAATCCTCGTATATATATATAGCGTACACGGTAGATTTCTCATACACTCGCCATGGTCATCGCATTAGTCCATATCCTGCGACTGTGACTCTATTCGACCTGTCAGACACATATCAGTCCGTTATACCGAAGCAATGCAGCCTGCGCAGCGTATGAAGTAATCGAAGACCGTGTACACAAAGGAAGAGCAGCAGGATACAAACGTCCAAGTCAGCGTACACCGTTGACCTTGAGCGATAGGACTGCCTTGACGGCACCACGACAGCCTTTTGTGGACACAGGGTGGCGGCTGAGCGCTTTGGAGCCCCGCAGCATTCGGACAGCCTTTGAACAGCCTTGGGCATGGCTGTACCGGAAGTCGGAGCACCACTTCTCGTTCCGGAAGCAACTCTGCCTGTGCTGGTGCTATCGGTGCATAACAACGTCATTGACACCGGGGTCGAAGTGGTGATGGCAAGTTGCAACAAAGGCTAACGGTTGCAGTAATTGGCGAGAAGGATCCGAAAGACGTTGTGCATATGCAGCTTGATGTTACTGCTGAGATCACGGAGACCCTGGAATAGTCGAGCAAGTACACCGGATGGAGCAGACTCACCGGGAATTGGGGAGCGGCGTGCACCGGCCAGAGCGTACTCGCAGGTGATATGTATCATTCGGAACACCACTAGAAAACGGAACCACACTCAAGGGTTTGCGGAGTTATGTGGGGTTGGGGCCGAAGATTGTGGTTATCTGAATGCAAGCAGATCAATACGCTAGCCCTCAATTGGCACAAGTAGACGGAATGTAGGCGGTACGTCAGGGGTACATAAACAGGAGCTTCGATCTGATCGTGGGCACGAGCAGTACGCGCATCTCAAACTGTAACTTGGAACTGAGGAGAGGCTGCCATCAAAGCTCGGCTGGTTTAAGCTTAGTGTCACTCACAGGTACTTTGACCAAGTAATACGTCCACTTCGTCACCGCTATTGGTGGGCCGAGCGTAGACCGTCCCTTCCAGCCTTGATCTCCGACGACCATCGATGCGATCACAGCCAAATACACGGCGGGTGGGCATTAACTCTCTTTCGTACACTCAGAAAGTCTGGTAACTAATAAAATCATGGCAGATCACTCGCGACATCTGCAAGAATGAAGGGAGTTGGAAGCGTACGTCCTTCATGCAGAGAGCAGTCGGTGCGATCTTCAAACCTCATCTCTTCGGCCGTACGGCTCCTGATCATTTGGCGAAGACAGTCAAATATATGGGATTAAAACCCCCGTTCTTGAATCTCAATCTGGCCGAGAAGGGATAGTGTTATAGAGTGTGCATACGTGGATGCTCGTCGGTGGTGAGAACTTGTAGGCCCGGGATCTCAAGAGCATGTTCCGCCGGAGCTGACCAACGTGAAGATAATTCCTCGTCGACAACCTTCAAGAGGCTAGCCATATCATGGTACCCTCCAGCCCGCCCCGAGATCAGCCTAGTCAAGGCCAGATGTGCAGTAGCGAATGGCATGAGCGACAATACGAAGCGAGCGGCGAAGCCCGACGAAATGGGACCCGTTATTCCCACGGTATCCCATCGCACGACTTGGAATTTTCGGACGCAGAAAAGGAACGCGGCTGGTTCCCACTGGTTCCCATCCTTTCACTTGCGTTTGTCCTCCTCGATGTCGTGGAACGCAACGACGAGCGCGGTCGCGGACGCGACGTCCTGGAATGGCTTTACTTGGGAGGGCGTCTCTACGGGGCGTATGCTGCTGCTGGCCGCGATCAACCTGCCGGTCATCGCGGTGGTGATCAACGTGTTGCGACAACTGGTACGTGCTTAATCTTAATGCTCTTGAATGTTTTGGATATTCAATGGTTTGATGCATGTAGTTGCTCCCCCGCGACCCGTCTCTGCCTCCGGAGGTGTTCCACTGGTTACCCTTCGTTGGATCGGCTGCGTCATACGGGAACGATCCCATGAGCTTCTTCTTTCAGTGCAGGGAGAAGGTACGAATGCCGGATGTCTATGCGCGAACGTTACTGACTTCGGTTTGCAGTATGGAGACGTGTTTACCTTCATTCTCCTTGGACGACGTGTGACAGTGGCACTTGGGCCGAAGGGCAACAACTTCATTCTCGGTGGCAAATCGACGACCTTCAACGCAGAAGATGCGTATACTGTATGTCGAACACCCTGTTTATCTATCAAGCCCCGCCTAACACGACCATATAGCACCTCACCACCCCCGTGTTCGGCAAGGACGTCGTCTACGACGTGCCTAATGAGGTCTTCATGGAGCAGAAGCGATTCGTCAAGGTCGGCCTTTCGATGGATAACTTGAAGGCTTATGTCGGCATGATCGAGGAGGAAGTCGAAAACTTCCTGAACCACGACGGCCAGTTCCTTACCTATCAAATCGGGGACATCAACGAATGGGGCCAGTTCGACGTATCTAAGGTCTTGGCCGAGATCACTATCTTGACCGCCTCGAGGACGCTCCAAGGACGGGAGGTCCGCGAGGGCCTGGACAAGACGTTCGCCCAGCTATACACTGACTTGGATGGAGGATTCACCCCAATCAATTTCATGTTCCCCAACTTGCCGCTGGAGAGCTATCGGAAACGCGACAGGGCACAGGCCAAGATGAGCAAGTACTACACGGACATCATCGAGAAGCGCCGTCAGAATCCCAACCACGAGGTGAGTCTCGCGCACCTAGGCCATCACAATGTCTCTGATGCGCCTGATCCGCCCAGGATGAACACGACATGATCGCGGCGCTCATGAGCCAGAAGTACAAGGACGGCCGCCCCCTGCGTGACCATGAAATCGCCCACATCCTCATCGCGCTCCTCATGGCCGGCCAGCACACCTCGTCTGCCACCGGCTCCTGGATCGTTCTCCACCTCGCCAACAACCCCGAAGTCGCCGAGGCGCTCTACCAAGAGCAAGTGAAGCACTTCATGGGCCCCGACGGCAAGTTCCGCTCGATGACCTACGACGAACTGCGCGAGCTGCCTGTGCTCGATTCCGTCATCCGCGAGACGCTCCGGCGGCACCCGCCGATCCACTCGATCATGCGCAAGGTTCGCGACGACGTGCCCGTCCCCGCCACACTCGCTGCGCCCGCGTCCGGCAAGAACCGCGACCGGACGTACGTGATCCCGAAGGGCCACTTCGTGCTCGCCTCTCCGCTCGTCTCCCAGGTCGATCCGAAGACGTGGCGGGACCCGCTCAAGTGGGATCCCTACCGGTGGAGCGACCCGGAGGGCGTCGCCGCGCAGGCGTACAACGAGTACTACGACGAGAAGGGCGAGAAGGTCGACTACGGCTTCGGTGCGGTGAGCAAGGGCACGGACAGCCCGTACCAGCCCTTCGGCGCGGGCAGGCATCGGTGCATCGGCGAGCAGTTCGCGTATTTGCAGCTCGGTACCATCGTCGCGACGCTCATCCGCAAGCTCGAGCTTCGGATGGAACAGCCGATGCCCGGACACAACTACCACGTACGTGACGTTCCGTTTGCATGGCGGCCAACGTGGCTAACGTCTCGCTTCCGTAGACGATGATCACGATGCCGACGTTACCCTGCAAAGTTGTTTACCGGAGGAGGGCATTTGATTAAATAGACGAATGCCCATGGCAATGGGCATATATACCTCAACCGGCTATCTTATACTTGTGATAATATAGCAGCCCGAGATTGACGCGGACTTGACTGGATCGTGCGTGGCCTGAGCACAACATATATCTGTCTTCGTCTGCGCCGCTGCCGTGTATCTGCATTAGCGAGTCTCGCCTGGGAAATGTTGGCCTTGACGTTGGGCGCTCTATCTCCTTAGCCTTTCCCATCATGGCGTCTGCGGGCTTCGTCCTTTCGCTCCGCCTTGAGTCGGCATCGACATGCAGAGTATCATCGAGCGACAACCTTCAACATTGCAGACACGCATAGATCTTCTTGACCAGGTGCCCAGATTAGCCGCGCTCGAGTCCTTTTACTCATGCGTTGACCTATCTACCTACCAGCGTCTTGACTCGCTATCTCGCACCGATAGGGCACATCGGTCTGCCTTGCGCGAGCTGCGCAGCTTGTGCGGAGAGACCGGCCTCCTGCCGACATCGTACGAGTTGTCGGGACTTGTCAAGTCCGACGACGAAGAGCCATGTTCGTCCGGCGGCTTCTCGGACGTCTGGCGGGGCGAACACAACGGCGTGCCGGTCGCTTTGAAAGTTCTCCGATTGCATGCAGGAGATCGTGCCAAATACAAGCAGGTCTGTCCGGCACTTCCTGCGCCGTGCCTTCATACCAACACTACTGACCAGATAGCCCAGGTTTTCTGCAAGGAGGCTGTAGTCTGGAGGCGGCTGTCGCATCGAAACATCGTCCCTTTCCTCGGAGTGTCCCCACGACATCATCTTTGCATCGTGTCGGAATGGATGGAGCACGGGGACGTGATGTCCTACCTCGAACGCTTCCCCCAAGCGAATCGCCTGCAACTTGTTTGGCGTTTTAAATCTGCGCACGGTGCGAGAAGCTTACGAAGCCATCCTGTAGATCACCGATGTCGCCCGTGGCTTGGAGTACATGCACGCTGTTGGTGTCATACACGGGGATATGAAGGGGGTGAGTCCGAGAACTCATTGCAACACATCGATGCGCGGCTGATGGCTTCACGCAGCGCAATGTTCTGGTGGACAGCAGCCACCGAGCCCGTCTGAGCGACTTTGGTCTTGCCATGACGGCGCTCGGGACGCATTCCCTCGCTCTATCGTCTGGGGCATCTTCGAATTGGGGAACCTTACGATACATGGCTCCCGAATTATCGGACCCGAGGATGGAGATCAAGGTCCTAACGACGAAGACTGACGTGTACGGATTCGGGATGACTGCCTGGGAGGTACGACAAGTGGGTTTCCTAGCGCGTATCGTTCGTTCAGTTCGCGTTTCGCAGATGTACGACGGCAGGATGCCGTTCTATCACGTACGGGGCGACTACACGGTGGTTCTTAAAGTTCAGGAGGGCGTGCGACCTTCACGTCCCCTGCATGCTCGCGAATTAGGTCTCGATGACTACCTTTGGGCCTTGATCGAGGCTTGCTGGCATGCCGAACCTTCTTTACGACCTTCCGTATCGACCCTCATGGAAGCACTACAAGCTCGTGAACTTACTCAGGTAGGTTGGGCCGCTTCATCAGGTAATATCCCGGGTCACCCTCGTCCACTATCCCATCCTGTATTGATAGAGTTTGAAGACAAAACATTTCCTGCGGAGTCCCACAACGCGAATCTGGCGACCATCGATTGGGAGGCTCCTGCATGGGTTTCAAGGTCCGGTATAAACGGTTACCAGTTGGAGGTCGAACAGCAGCTCTTGCTCAGCGTCGATCACGGTAAGGAGACATAAACCCAATGTGACACCTATTGACGCCTATCCTAGTTATCGCCACGGCGGGTTCGCTGCAAGGACACACCGCATGTGTATACTCTGTCGCATTTTCGCCCGATGGCTCCCGCATTGCCTCAGCGGCAGGAGACGAGACGATACGCCTTTGGGATGCGGATACCGGAGACGCCATCCTCGAACCACTACAAGGCCATGTAGCCTGGGTCAGGTCCGTTGCGTTCTCGCCTGATGGCAAGCGCATGGTCTCTGGCTCCGACGACCAGACTGTACGACTGTGGGACGCTGCAACGGGAAGCAGGATTGGCCAAGCGCTTCTGGGGCATACGCATACCATAGTCTCCGTGGCCTTCTCGCATGATGGCAGGCACGTCGTCTCGGGCTCTTTCGATGGGACAATCCGACTATGGGACGTGGACACAGGGAACGCGATACGTGAACCTCTGCGAGGGGGCGCGGCGCCGGTATTTGTCTGCTTCTCGCCCATCTTCGACGACGTCGTATCCGTGCTCCACGATGGCTGGATCCATATATGGGATCCCGAGACGGGTCAGCCCGTCGCAGAGCCGTCGCAATGCGACGGCGACACTATCCATTCAATTGCATGCTCAATGGATGGCGAGCGCATGGCTGTGGGCTATCGCAATGGCACGGTTCGTGTCCTGGACGTGCGCACCGGGGCGACGCTGTTGGGACCCTTGAAGGGGCACACCAAAATCGTTAGTTCCGTGGCGTTTTCACCGGAGGGGAGGCACATCGCGTCCGGCTCGTCCGATCTTACCGTCAGGATATGGGACGCGTCGACGGGGGAAACGGTGGTTGGGCCTTTAATAGGGCACGAATTTGGCGTCCGGTGCGTAGAGTTTTCGCCGGATGGGAAACGGGTCGTGTCCGGTGGGAAAGACGGGGTGTTGAGGATATGGAACATGGAGGCTGAAGGAGTTCGATAATCATTGGGTGTTGAACCTCAGGCTCTAATCAGTATCGCTAGTCTATTTGGTCCATGCAATATGATGGTATATGCGTTCTCGCTTTCGTTTCGTTTGTCGTTTTGTACGAGAGGATCTCGTGTTCTGTCAGGATGATCATGTAGGGCAAAGCTCATTGACATGGAGGCGTGAGAGAGAGCTCGAGACCGCATCCTCCATCTCCGCCTCTCTCGACCCAACGACGCGACACCACCACCATTCGGACCGTTAGACATGGCTGATCTGGTCGACTCTATGCTGGACCTCATGCGGCGCCTGCCGCCGACCAACGTCCAGGAAAACGTTGCCAAGCTCGTCCGCATATGTCCCGATTACGCGGACGACCTGCTGGGCAGCGTCGACCAGCCGCTGACGCTAAAGACCGATCGCGCGACGGGGAAGGAGTACCTCGCGTGCGACTACAATCGCGACGGCGAGAGCTATAGGTGAGCGTCTACAAGTGTGAGTGACCTCCCAACGAACGTGTCCCTGGAGATTCATTCCCTCGTCGATTTCACGCCATCTGAAACGGAGGAGCTAATCGGCTTGTCTCAACCAGGTCGCCTTGGTCAAACGAGTACGATCCACCACTGGACGATGGCACGGTCCCATCCCCCAAATTGCGCAAGCTCGAGATAACGGCCAACGAGGCGTTCGACACCTACCGCGAGATGTACTACGAGGGCGGCGTCTCTTCTGTCTTTCTGTGGGATCTCGACGATGGAGGGTTTGCTGGTGTCGTGTTACTCAAGAAAGGTACGGGATCGACTCCATCGTCGCCTGGTGACCGTGTCTCTAATGGTCTATGTGCGTGCGTGCGCAGTTTTAAATCCATCAGAACCCGGCGACGCTGCAGGTTCTTGGGACTCGATTCACGTCTTTGAAGCGGCAGAGCGCGGGCGGCAAGCACATTACAAACTCACGTCGACCATCATGCTCCAGCTGACGACCAAGACGGGCGATGCGGCCGCGTCGAAGGATGGCCCGAAGACGGCCGGGACAAGAGACGGGGACGTGGTGCTGAGCGGGAGCATGACGCGTCAAACAGAGCAGGATTGGCCCCTTCACGATTCGTCGTCTCATATCACCAACACGGGCAAGATGATCGAGGAGATGGAGATCAAGATGCGGAATTTGTTGCAGGAGGTAAGCGCGGAACCCAATTTCCCTTGCGCATTTCGCGGCTTTCCCTATACAGTTCGCTGAATATACCCACGTACGATCTAGGTTTACTTCGGCAAAACGAGAGATGTGGTGTACGATATGCGTAGCGTTGAAAGTCTGGAACTGGCGCGGAGACAGCGTGAGCTGCAGAAGGAGTTGGCAGGATTCATCAAGCGGTGATCCGTGGATACATCGTGTACTTCATACATTCAGAGTCAATGCTGAGTAACCCGGCATGGCATAGTAGAATTGCTTCTGTGTTGATATGCACGAAAGGCGCCCATCGTGCGGGGTTATTGATCTCTGTCCCGCAGCTTCGTGACTGCCGCGTGGAGCGCGTAGGGTCTTACAACATTGTACCCTCACCTCGGGCTACTTGTTCCACCCCCTACTTAGGGTCAACTCGATAACAAAAAGTTGGCCCCAACTAGGCCCCCCAGCAGTGGACACGTGGGCTCTGGAGCAATCTGCGGTCTGGGGACACGCGAGGTGGACTTGTTTGAATGTGTCCAGCAGCACTGATATTGTCCACCGCAGTGCAAATTTGTCCACCACCCTGGATAAGGACAGCTGATCACTTCCATATTACAAATGTTATAAATATATTATTCCATGCGGTGTCCGGGGTCCCAACTCAGAAATGACTAGTTTTTAGCAGCATCCAGGGCAGGTATTTGTACGCACCCTGTTGGGACCACCAATGCGGTATTTCTGCTGTGTTGTTCTGGGATGGACATTGATAGTGTAGTGTAATGCATTACATTGCTTAATAATTGTACATACATATACACTCATGCTGCACTGGACATAGCTACATGCAGTGACCTTACCTCATATTTAGGCTCTATACCCACCATTTCACCCAGCCTTTCACGTGAGTAAAGTGGCGCCAAGCGCCGCATTCCGACTCCCCCGGGGGGGGGGGTCATGGGAAAGCGGTTGATCGGGCCGGATAACGATTGATCGGCGATCGATCGGCCAGTGTGTATGGAGTTATTATCTTATCTTATCGTATAAGCGCCCAAAAATCCACCCAAATGCGGCAACTGTCATTACGCAGAGAAACCAAAGTGCAGTAGACCATACGATTATGTAACTGATTGTTATCAAGTCAGCGCTGACTTCGGCAACTCGGCAAACCGACGGATAACATTCGGAACTGATACTATCACATGATGTAAGCGATCCCACACCTACTATGTCACGCTGCTGCGTCCCATCTAAAACTAGCACTCGTCCGTCCGATAGTCGCGGATAATCACGCTTTATCACGCTTTTGTAACGTTTTGGCTGGGGTCACATCCCTGT